TTTATTTATAACCTGCCTTCTAAAAATTACTTAAGGGAGCTCAGTCCACCCAGCTCTACTTCTCCTTCTTCTCCATGTAGAGGGGGACTGCCAGCTCCCTCCTCTAGCCACTTATTGGAATTCATTTTTTTATGACCCTGTGCCACCTCTCAGGATCCATCTAGTGTTACTCTGTCATTTCTCACCAGCTGTTTTCCCCTTGATTGCCACCTGACCGGGCTCTCCTCAGGAGTGCAGACCACCTCCCACTTATCCGCATGCTTCTAAAAACCCAGCGGTGTCCACCATGTAGTTAAGTGCTCAGTAAGTGTCCTCTGATGACTGCGACCAAGGTGACTGCCACTCCCTCTCCCAGTTCTGTTAGAAGAAGGGATCACCAGCCCTTTTCATTGTGGCTAGAGGCGACAAGGGTATGACCAGGAATAACCTCCAGACATGGGGCTCTAGTTGACCACCCCACAGCCTGAAGAAAACCCCAGCAGGGTCATGGCACATGGACTGTGTCCAGGAAGCAAAGCTGGCATGCGTGTTCGGGTGCCCAGCACCCCACTGACACCATCTCTGAGGGGAAGGATCCAGGGGTCTCCCTGCTCCCAAGGCCCAGCTGTCTTACTCTGCTCCTGGGTGCTCTTCCCCTCACCCTGCTCTCCAAAATAGCCCAAGTTTATTTTATCCCCCTCCTCCCCTCCACACCCCAGCCCAAATGGTGACAAACAGAAACACCTCATCATCCCAGGCAAGATGTTCAGAGACAAATGTTGGTCTGTTCAGAATGAGAAAGAAAAACACAAAACAAAACCCAAACCAGGAGGAAACAGAGGCTGCCCCAGGCAGGGTCTGTGAAGAGGCGGCAACTTTTGGCCTGGCCCAAGCTCTGCAGCTCCTCAGGAGGGGCTGGCACCATCTTCCTTAGCCAGGTCCTAGCCCAGAGGGCAGAGGATCAGTGAGTGCTGGCCCTCCCTCAAAGCCTATTGTGACCACTGCAAGTCCCCAGGCAATGCTAGACCAAAGAAGCCCGGGACCTGCAGAAGGCCCCTGCATCTCTTCGCTGGAACACCTGGGTTTCACTGCTTTGCCTGGACCAGGAGAAACCTAATGTTCACTCCTAACCAAGACTCACTTCTTTTTTCTTATGGAAGTCCCCCAGTAAGAAACAAGAGACAGGGTAAAACTCAAGCAATTCTAGGCGTAGAAATTAAGGACAGGAGAAATCGGGGGATGAAGCTCTTCCATGAGGACTACTCCTGAATCTTCCAGAAGCCAGAGATGTTCTCTGGGCAAGAGCCACGGGAGACAGTGGTAGGAGCATAGAATTGGACCCATGAGACCAGGATTGGGATCCTAATTCTACCATCAGCTGTGCTACCTTGGGCAAGCCGCTCTGTGCCTCAGTTTCCTTATCTGTACATTGAGTTTAATAATCCCTGCCTCCCCTGAGCCAGAGGAACTAGGAGAAGAAAGCATAGGCCATGCACCTGCCACTCACTGGAGCCTGAAAAAGAAGAATCAGCTCTGGCTGCCCTCCCAGAGCAGCAGGATCCTGTGGACCACCTCCTCCATTTAGGTGGGGAAAAAAAATCTATTCAGAAACTGATTAGTCAAAGGAGAAGGATGATGCTCCTCAAAAGGGCTGACAGCTGAGCTAAAACCAGCCCAGTTCCTGAGACGTCAGAAAAGAGGAGGGGGTCCCAGGCTTCCATTCGTTGGGCGTCTGGACTTCTCTTTGCAGAAAAAGAGAAAGGAGTGATTCTGTAGCTCTGCGAAGCCACCTTGGGAAGCCCTGACTCTGACCAGGGCAGCAGGTAGTGGGGCAGGTGAGAACAAGACCAGCCTGCCCCTAACTCAGGACACAGAAACAGAACCACAGAGGCAGCTGCCCATGGTCCAGCTCCATCAGGGGTGAGCATCCCGGCCAGGAGCCTGCCTGTAAGGGAGCAGCTCTGCGGGCCAGGCCGGTAGCTAGGCAACAGGCTCTCCTAATCAGCTCAGTTCACTTTCCATTTGTGTCTGTTTTGCTTTTGTCATAACACACTACTCAAATGACCGGAATGTCTTGTGTGAAGGAACACCCTGGGTAGAGCACCAGTCCTCTACCCTCATGTGTCCTTCTAGGTAACATCCCAAGGCCACTACCCAAGGTGCTGCAGGTGCCTCTCAGGGAGGCAGTGGCCATGAGTGAGGCAAGGCATGCACACATACCCAGGAGCAAGGGCTAGGATGGGGAGTGTGACTGGTTTAGGGTCAACGGAGGGGGACAGTGTAGCCCCAGAATCTCCCCTGCATGACACTGTACCCTCAGGCCTAGAGGAGTGACAGAGCGAGTGTCCCTTCTGATGTCCCCATCTGCTCCTGGGTTTTCTGATGCCATCCACAAGAGGTACAGAACCTCAAAACACCCTGCAGGTCAGAGCAAAAAACTAGGCACCTCTCCATGCTGCAAATAGCCTGGAGCAGTGGGAAGAGACCGTCGTGACCACAGGAGCAAGGACTTCGAAGTCAGGGCGCTCTGGCTGTGATTCAAAGCTTGGCCACTATCTAGCTGCGTGGTCTCAGGCCAGTTGAATACCTGCTCACAGCCTCACACTGTTAAATGGGAATAATAGCCTTGTTGTAAATTCATTGGAAGGATTAGAGATTAATGTAAAGTATGTATAGCAAAATGTCTGCACAGGGTACCCAGTGAATAGCAGTTATTAGTTGTTAAAATTCAGTATTTCCACCTGTGTGTCCAGGAGCAGCTTGAGGCTTGCCTTTGCCTGCATTCCTTGGCAACAGGCAAGTCTTCTTTTGGCACACGCGACAGTCAGAGCTCCATACAGCTCCTCACATCAGTACTAACAACCCGAAGGCTGGAAACTAAGGGTGGTTTGCTGGTTCTATTACTTAAGTGTCTTTGGCAAGACACATGTTTCTGAATCCTGGTTTCTTCACTGATGAATTGGGAGAATTAATCCTGCCCTACCCCAAACTTCAGACCTCAGCGGGAATGCCCAAGCTGAAATGATTCATGCCCAAAGGACAAAGCATCTTGGGTCCCTGGAGGACCCCCAAGGATCACACTAGGCTCTAAGCTTAATGATAGTGGCTTCTGGCTGGGCCATTCTGCAGTGGGTTGAGGAGAAAATAAGCTCATTGATGGTACATCCCCTTGCAATCCTGGCAAGAAGAACCCGGAGAAAAGTCCCCAGAGACACCAGAATGCTCAGAAATAGGACCTACCTCCCTGTTTCTCTTAACTACCTCTTGTCATTCCTCCTCAATTGTTTGTCCCTTTTCCCCATCTCTATCAGGCTAAATCTGCCTCATTCCTGTCCAGCAACTTTGAAAGAGTCTGAATGATCTGGGCTTGTCACTCTCCCGTGGTGCAGACAGCCAAGAGCCAACACTAACAGGGTCAGTGAACTGCATGTGACGCCCTTGGAACTCACAGCAGACCCAAGCCAGGGGCCTTACTGTGCCCACATCTTCTGAGCTGGCTTCAGGGCTTCAGGACAAGACACCAAGGCAGCTGTGGTGGGAAGAGAGCTGAAAAAGATTCCTGACTTCTAGTGGCTGCCTGCAGCCCCAGTCCAGCATGCCATAGCCCCTGAGACCTCTGCTCCTCCCTTCTATTCCAGACAGGGGACGCATCTGCCTTGGTCTGGCATTTATGCCAATTTAGCCCCTACCTGCAGCCCCATTCCCCAACCCTCTGTCCTCCCCTGGGTGGGGAAGTGGAACTTTTCCTTCCATGATTAGGATGAGATGCAGTCCAGGCAATGCTTGGGGGGGGGGCGGGGCGGCAGGGCCCTGAGACTCATTAGCATAACAACTTGGTATGCCAGAGATACCAACCAGCTTTCACAACAAGCAGTCCCCAGACCCATCAGATCACTTCGCTCTTTCCTGTCTCCCAAACAGACCCCAGCCAGGCTTTAGGCTGTGGCCTTGAGATAAGACATTGGCTGGACAATTTTCTTTTTTAATGATTCTAAAGCCATCCTTTGGGGTTTTAGCTGCCCAAGCATAACAGGGATCCCCTGATCATCCCCTCCCACCTATAAGGGTTAAGGAAGACCAGATTAATTTAGGGAAAGTGGTGAAGAGGGACTAGACCTTGCCTAAATAAAACTGTACTCCCCCTCCCCCTCACACTCCCATTTGGAACAGTAACCTGAACCAGGGCTTTCTGGGAAGCCACTTTATGCAGCAGCAGTAAGAAAAGTAGTGGCAACAAATCTGGCATCATCACCAGGAAGCCTGTGGCTGGCCTTTGGCAGTGGGAGCCTGAGGAGCCTAGAATAGCAAGCCCTTCCGGTCTAACTCCCCGCTTATCCCAGCTGAGGCCAGGCAGCTCAGGTATATAGGAAGCCTTGGGGCACAGCCTGTTCCCAAAGAACCAAGGCCCCTCCTCACCTGAACTGGAGGCCTGGGTTCTGGTCTCAGCTCTGCCTCTCCTAAGCTCAGCACGCCGGAGGCTCTGTCCCTCTCTCTAAAATGCATAGCTGCCAACTCACAGAGATGTTGGCAGGATTTAAGTGGGGTGACATGGAAAGGAAGCATCTAACAAAAATGAAAAAAAAATAAAAAAGAAAGAAAGAAAAGAAAATCCCAGTTTTCTTCTCTTAGTCCTGCCTCACCCCAGCAGAAGGCAATTCTAGTTCTCCAGGGCTGTGGCCCTGTGGAGGAGTGGAGGGCAGCTGAAGATGGGGTGGCTTGTGCAAACCAAAGAAGGGATGAAGAGCTGTGGGCACCCCACTCCCTGGGGGGATGCAGCAAAGCAAGGCAGCTGGGATGGGGTCCAAGTAGTAAGTCAAGTGTGTGCAATCTCCTGATGGAGCGTGCAGGAGAGAGGGTGGGAGTGTGTAATTCCCCAGAGGGCCCTGGAGGGAGTTGGGAGGGAGGTGAGAACAGACTGCGGTGGTAAGCTAGTCCTGCTGGGCTCTGCTCTGCCCCTACCCACCACCACCACGCGCCCCTTGCAGACACGAGAAGGGGAGACCCGGACTCCTGACACTTACCCTGGCCGCCCGGGAGGAGTAGGGATCCTCAAAGAGTGCCCACATGCGTGGTTGCCAGCCGCGGCAGCCCCCGGAACCGGCGCCAGGGCCTGCGCCTCCCTCGTGCGGCCCCAGGCGCTGCAGGGCTAGCTCCCGCTCATCATCGCCGACCTCGTCGCTGGGCCCCGCTCCACCGCCACCCCCGTCTGGGCTTTCGAAGATGTCGAGCGCCTCCTCAGCGTCGCGATGCTGGCGGTAGGTCATCCAGCAGCAGGGCTCCACGTCGGTCTCGTCGATGCCCCAAAAGGTGAGCTCCTCCTCAAAGAGCGGCCCGCACACGTCGGCGGGGCAGTGCAGCTTGCCAGTGCGGTAGTAGTTGAGCACGTAGGCGAAAACGCCCGGGTGCCGATCGAAGAAGAATTCACATCCTCCGCCGCCGCTGCTGCCGCTGCTGCCCGCACCGCCGCCATCGGACTCCGGCCGGCCCCCGCCGTCGGGATCAGCCAGCCAGGCGAGGCGGGTGCCCGGCAGAGTGCGCAGGGTGCTGCGGTAGGTCTCATGTCGCGTGCCGCCCACGTTGATGATGATCTTCTCCGACGCCTCGCCCTTGGCCATCTCCTCCTTCAGACATGTTTTGGACGGAGGCTTGTTCCCCGACTTGCGCCCGCGGTAGGAGGAGACACACACCGAGCTGATCATAAGAAGCGCTGCGGGGCTCCGGCTTGGGGCGGCCGCTGCCCTCCAAACACCCTTCCAGAGGAGGCAGCGTCAGACGGGGGAGGGGGAGGAGACGAGGAGGAGGCAGGAGGCGGCGGCGGCCCCCTCTGCGGCTTGGCCCTGCCCCTGTCTTCCCCCCGGGGCGCGTAGCGGGAGGAGTTGGGTTTCTCGGGCGCACAGGTGGTTGGGGTTTGGGTAGGCAACGCTGGGGCGGGAGGCAGGAGGTGCAGAGAGGACTCAGCAAGGGGCCCGGGGAGGTAGCGGCAAGCAGGCTAGGACGGGACACACAGACTCCCGCTCCGGGCCAGGGACACGCCCCCCCTCACCCGACAAAAGACCAAGAAGTGCTCAGTCCCGGCACACTGCGAGGGTCCGGGGCACGCGCGCGCTCACACTCACAAGAGCCACCCTCCGGCTCCCAGACCGCGCGGAGCCCGGGAGCGGCCGGTTTCTCCGCGGCGGCAGCGCAGCAGCAACAAGTCCTCCGAGCGGCTGCCGGGGCCGGGCCGACGATTTCAGGGCAGCCGGAGCTCGGCGGGCCCGGGCTGCGCGAGGTCAACACGAGGCGGCGGCGGCGGCATGTGGCCTCTTCCCCCCATTCATAAATCCAGCGCTGGGCAAGGATGGCGGGAGGGGCTGAGCGCAGCGGAGCGGACCAGCGGGTGGGGGCTGCGCAGGGAGAGGCGACTGTAAGAAAACAAGAGCGCCCGCAGGAGCGAGCCTCGGGTCCTGCATCCACGGCTGGGAGCCGCGCTGGGCTGGGCGCCGCGCTGCGGGGGCCGCGCCGCGGCGGGGGGGCCTCAGACGGGGCGTCCTGCGCGGCGCCAAGCCTGGGGGGCGGGGCCGCTCCGGGTAGCGGGGCTCTAGGTGCTGGCGAAGGAGTCTCCCCGGCGGCGGCCGAGAGGCCAAGGACACCTGCAGGCTTCTGGGGCCGCGCCGAGCGGGAGCCTCAGCGCAGCGCCCCGGCGCCGGGCTCCTGCGATCTGGCGGCGCCGGGAGCCGCGCCATCTACACGTCTGCCCATCTCCGGGCGGGGCGCTGGCCTTGGCTCTCGGCAGGGGGCGGGCGCTAGGTGGCCTCGGGAAGGGGGCGCCTGGGCACCAGTAGACCAGGACTCAGGGGGCTCTGCGTCTCCCTCCGGCGATGACAGCGGACTCCGCGCTCCAGTGGCGCCTTTTCCTCCGGGTCCCGCCTGGCCTGGGCGCGCCCTCCGCCGGGAGGGGTGGGCGGAGCGGGGCGCAGGGCCGACCCGGCTAGCTGCAGGGCCCCGGCGCCCGAGCTCAGCCTTCCTCCGCGCAGCGGAGCCCTGCCGAGGCGCGTAACCCCCTCGCCGCCAGTGCCCAGCCTTGCGCGCCGCCCCTGCGCGCCTCCGCCACCATCCCCTCCCTCCGCCTCCCGGGCCCCGCTCCCGGCTTCCCCCGAGCTAGCAGCTCCTCCCACTGCAGCCCGGGTGACACCCAAGCGCCCTCCACTCTCTAACCTCTAACCTCTGCCCACCTCTTATTGCTGAGCCTGTCGCCCCTCCTCCACGCAACGCTGGTTGCAATGTTGCCGTTTCACTGCGGCTAACTGAAGACTGGGATGAGAGTGAAGATACGGTGTCTTGAGGAGGAGACTGCTCCAAACACCGAATTTGGGGCCTCCTGACCACCGTGCCCCCATCCTGTGCTTTGGAGGCCTGTAGTCTTGATGCTTGTGGCCACTGCCCCAGTCACCACAGCCTCTGCCATGGAATGGGGGACAGAGCGGCTTGGGCAAAGAAGCAGCGTCTGGTCTGAGCGGAGGGAAATTGTAACCCTGGTATTGCCCATGAAGAAATATGTTGTATGAGTGTGAGGTGGTGGCCCCGACCCATCTTTAGGTTAAATGGTTTACAGTTCCCTGGAGAGCACATGGAAAGTGGCTTGTGACTGTGTCCTGGTCCTGTGATTGTTTCACTTCTTGTAGTTTGGCTTGTCCTGTGGTTCTGTCTCCTTGCCCCTCCCTGACCTGAGCTCCTACAGGCCACACTGTGCTTTTTGATCTTGATCGCACCAACAGTGCCTGCCTTTCAGAACCTGTTTGTTAAGTGATTGAGAAGCTGTCATACCCTAAACATTAGGCACCAACTGGACTTTGCTGGCCCTGTCCCAAAATCAATTTCCAGATTCATTTGTTTTTATTTGTTTTTAAGCCCAGAACCTCTTCTACATCTTTAAGCTCTCCCTCACAGCTTCAGCCAGCCTCCATGTCTATCTGGGTGATATGCAGAGGATTTTAGAGCAGAAATGGAAATGGATGGATACACCTGCCCTGAACAACTGTGCACCATCCAATTTCCAGATGAGGCAGGACCTAGAATACCAGGAAGAACAAGACAAGGGCTTGTGAGTGTTCTCAGGAAAGGTTAGAAGCCCAGAACAAATGTATGGGATTTTCATAAGCAAAAGTCTCATCATTAATGAGATTAAAAACCAAAAGGATGGGGATTTTGATGATGTGTACTAATATGCAGGGGAGGTGGGTACAATCCTTCTGTAGTCAGAAAAATACATTTGCTGACATCCTTTGGTATCTAGTCCCTCCTCTCCTCAGACCTAATGTCTGCATTTCAGAGTTTAGGTGGACTTGAGTTTGCTGCAGTGAAAAGAACTATTCCAAACCTGACTGGGAAGAGAAGACCCAGGACTAGCTGGAGCTAGAGTGCAAAAGGAAAAACTGCTGGGCGGATATCAAAGAGTTAACTGCAATGATGACTGTAAAGTCCCCTCTGGACTGTGTCCTGGCAAGCCCCTTGTAGTCTCTTCATCGCTTTCCATTCTTCTGTTTGGCTGATGGTCATTCTGAGAAAAGGGACAAGATGATGGGGGGGGGGCGGTAGAGTGGGGAATGGGGAAGAAAGTCCATCACAGCACCCCACACCTGATTTACTTATTCATCAACAAATATTTATTGAACATCTACTGCCTGCCAAAAGCTGTTCCAGGCACTGGACATACATCCGTGAATTAAACAGCCTCCCCAGGAAACCTCTGCCCAGTCATCTTCCATTCCGCAGTGCTGTTGGCTGGTGATGAGCACCTGGAGAGAGGGTGGAAGGAGAACACTGCCAGGGAGGAAGGAGGCCAGGAGGGAAGGGAAGGAGATGGGAAAGCTGGTATGGGGGTAGGATAACCAGAGGCAGCCAAGGAAAATAGGCAGTCAGGTACAGGTGCACTAAGAGGAAGACTCCTGGTCAGCTCCTGGAGAAGTTAGCTGGGACAAGAGGCTTCCAGAGAAGGCCTTACCACTTGCTGAAGGTTTTATTCTAGAGCTCTGGACTAATCTGTTCTCTGGGCCCTTGTGGGCTTTTCTAGGGGAGTCTGTATGTTACAGTTGGCATCATGGGGCTTGTGTGTGTGTGAGGTCGTACTATTCTTTGAAAACACAAACCCCAGGATGGAAAGAGCCCCCTGCCTGCCAGCTGGATGCCAGCCTAATGTGGGTGGGAGGGTGCTGCCCCCTGGTGGTGCTATGGTGGCCTGGTCCTAGACCTTACCCTCTGCTGGGAATGTGATGGTTGAGTAGAAAAGGGGACTATTGTGGTATGGAGTGCAGCTAATCCTGGGCGTCCTGTTGATCCTAGAACCCCACACAAGACTATCATCCAGGACTCTGTCTGTTCTGTCCATTCCTCCAAGACCTTGATAACTGAGAGGCTTAGGCAAGACACAAGCAGTCACAGTTGGAAAATTGAATTGCTCACCTTTCACCACTTTCCTATCCTGGGCACCCTGTTTCTCCTGGCTATAGGGAACAGCATCTGCCTGGAAGTCAGTTCACACTAATGTATCAGCTGCAGTGGGTTTCCCTCCCCAGGGTTAGGAGTACTGCCAAAGAGAAGGAGAGAGGATAATGTTTGATTCTAGAATGACACTGATGGAGGATGTCAAACCTTTCCAGAGCCCTGCAGAGAAGGTCCTTGCTCTCTGAATACTAAAGCTGGACCCTCCTTGAAGGAAACTGAGACTGAAATCAAAGCCATTTACACTTCCTCTTTCTCTACGGGGGGGATGTATGTGGGCTCAGCCTCTTTGGGGGTGACAGGAGCCATCTAAGCTCCTCTCTATCCTCCTTCTTTGGCCGCATTTGTTTTGAGGGATTCCAGGCCAAGGAGCAGCCCCCATGTCTGCCTGAGTAAGGTAATAGCCATTGGCACTCACACCTCCCCCTTTTGGCATTCCAGCTCCTGCCAGGGACCAACCCCTCCTCCTTCAGGTCCAGGCCAAGGAGCCAGCACCCTTTCCCAGCATACCCTGCTCCCTCTTATTCTGGTTAATTGGATTTCTTTATCAAACATTATCACCAGGCAATAATGTTGTCCTCTCATGGAGGGAGAAAGGAAAGGTAGTCAGGAGAAGGCTGGGAGCCTGTTGTCCTCCCACCCCACCTCCAGGCATCCTGCAGAGATCCCCAGGTTCCAAATCAAATGAAAGCTTTCCCATAAGGGCTCCAAGGAGAACCTAACCTTAAAGGGCTGCCCAGAGTCATCCAGGCCTTGTGAAGGTCAGCTAAGATGGCTGTGACCAAGGACTGAAGGTACAGTTGGGTTACTGTGAAAATCTGATTGAAGTTGTATTTGGGGCTCTGGGTAACTCCAAACACATCCTCTGATGGCCCAGCTCGTAAAGGGAAGAGGCCAGAAAGATACAGACCACAGGTTCAGGCTGGACCAGGACTTAAGGCCTCATAAACCATGGCCTTAGAGTCATAGGGTTAGAAAGAACCTGGGAGCCAGCTCACAGGCACATGCCCACTAAGGAATTTCATGCCTAAACAGCCGCAGTGAACCTGAAAGGCAGAGCCATGACTGCAGTTGGGCCAAGGCCAGAGAAAAATGTGGGGACCCATGTGGCCTCTGCATGTAGAACAGCGTTTGTGGCAGTCACAGGACCAGGGCCAGCAGAGTGGACCCAGGTGCCAAGAGGCCTCTTTGTTCAAGGCTGCTGGGCTGGAGACCAGCCTAGGCCCAGAAATCACCTCTACCACCCAACACACACACAGACACACACACACATAGACACACACACACACACACATTAACTTAGGTCCCAGCTGGCAAGACTTCTTGGCACTCAGCATTTCTCCATCTAGAAAAGTACAGAATCCTCCCACCCAGACTAAATTCCAGTAAAACTGGTTCATTCCATTAGAGTAGTTAATTAGTCCTAATGGGCCCAGTCCCCTCCAGCAATGTCCTGGGGAAATGGGAAGCTGCTGCCTGGAGATGCAGACCAAACTCAGGATCCTCTTGGCTGCTCATGAAACCCAGGAATCCTTCCTTTGTGGGTCAGCCCTGGGCAGGAAGGGAGAGACCTGGAATCCAGCCAGCTCTGACCCTGGAGGCCTGGGGACAGACCCTCACTCCGTCTTTCTGCTGCACAGCTGACACTCTGCCTGGCACAGAGTAATCCTCATGATGGTTTGCTGGTTTGTTGAATGACAGACATTCTCCCCTTCTCCCAGGTTTCCCCCCAACTAAGCCAGTGTGTCTGGCACTGGTGGCTATGCCACGGGAGGGCTACTTCAAGTCAGATGTGACTGCCTCCATGAGACTGAGACCCCTGCCTGGCCTGATCCTTCTTTGTGTATTTCTCATGTGTTTAACACAATCCTAGGCACTCAGACTACTTGATTCATACCTGCTACATGGAATTAACATAGGGAGGATAGGGTGGGAGAGGACTGGCACCCTTCTTGTCAGTACCTTGCAGTGTGGTACACTGGACTGGGAGTCAAGAAACCCAGGCCTTGGGGCTGAGGTTGTGGCTCAGCTGTAGAGCGCTCTCCTCACACGTGTGAGACCCTGGGTTGGATCCTCAGCACCACATAAAAATAAGTAAAAAGAAACCCAGACCTTTCCCTAGTTTTCATTTGCTTACTCGTAGGAATAAGTTGTTATATGAGAAGGTTGACCAAATGATCACTCAATTTCACATTCTGGTTACTACTATTATAAAACAAATTACCCCCAAACTTTAGTGGTGTTAATTTGAGAGCCATTTTCTTTGGCTCATGATTTTGTAGGTTGGGAAGTTAGAAAGGGCTCGGTAAGACGGTTCTTGTTTAGAATCCTCCATGCAGCTGCAGTCACATGTAAGCTAGGACCGCAAACTTTTGAAGCCTAGCTGGTCTAAACATTCACCAGGCATGTTCATGGGCCTGGCAGTTGACACTGGCTGTCGTCGACTGAGTGTTCAGCTGAAGAGGCCAACTTAAGCACCTGTAAACACACAGCTTCTATGTGCAGTCTCAGGGTCAATGGACTTCTAATGTGGCAGCTGGTCTCCCTCAGAACCAGGTATCCTTAGAACACTGCATGCAAGTGGCATGGCTTTTGCTAATCTACCCTTCGAAATCATAGAGCTTCACATCCACCATATTCTGTTGGTCAGAAGAGGCATTTGCTTATTCAAATTCAAGAGAGATAGACTCCACTTTTAAATTTTTTTAAAAAATTCTAAAAAAAAATAGAATTTGTTCAAGTAAAAACAAACAAAGAGCTCTTACAGGGCAAAAGGAGATCAATTAGGGATTTTTGACTCTACTCTTGGGGACTTTTCTTCAAAAAACAAACCATTGCATTACTGAAATCTGTGAAATACTTCAACCTTGGCCCAAGTCCCTTATACTTGGAGCTGGATGAGCCTGTGTGTGTGGTTATGGCTCTTGGGGAGAATAGGATAGTGTTAAGGATCAGGAAGACTGCCCCCCACACACACACACACTCTGAGTACCCCTTTCCTTGGAAAGGGAATCCTCTCACTCCTCCATCCTTGGTTTCTCGGGTTCAGACTAAAATGTCTTAAAACAGTTCTAGGAGCCTGGCTCATTGCACGGCTGACGGAGCTCCCAGAGTGAAGCAGGCCCCATGAACCTACCCAGGGGTTGCAAGAGAGGAGGGTAATGTTTAACGAGCAGCTCTTGTATTAACATTTGGAAGAATTCTATACGGTATTCCAGCAGGTACTACAAGAAGGAGTGTGTTTATTCCTCACAGCATCCCCTCCAAGAAGAGACTTTATTGTCAACCTCCTTTTTTTTTTTTAATATTTATTTTTCAGTTTTCGGTGGACACAACATCTTTATTTTATTTTTATGTGGTGCTGAGGATCGAACCTGGGCCGCACGCATGCCAGGCAAGCATGCTACCGCTTGAGCCACATCCCCAGCGCCCTCAACCTCCTTTTATAGATTAGAAAATTGCAGGTTCGGAGGGTTAGTGGCTTGTCCACAGTTGGCGAGAGACTCATGGTTCAAACTACCTGTGTCATCTAACCCCAGGGCAAACATAAGGCAGAAGAAGTCTTTCATGTTCTCCTGCATGTCCTTATCACCTGCTTCCTCCACCCAGGACCCACATTTACCCACTGACTTCCACATCAGAACAGACCTCTTGTATGTTCCAGTTCTGTGGGTCCAAGGAGAAGGCTTCCACGCAGATGCCAATGACCAAAGATGAAGATCCCTAATACCCTAAAACAGCTTCATTACATGGGCAGCCAATGCCCCCCACCTTAATTCTGTGTGCCCTCCCCTTAATTCCAGGCAGATGGTATGATCCATAGAATATGGTGGAGGTAACAGTGTGCCATTTTCCAGATCAGACCTTAAGAAATTGGCAGTTTCATTTTCTGCCTCTCGGAGGTTTTGGTTTTTTAGAAATGATCTCACTATATTTCCCAGGCTGGACTTGAACTACTGGACTCAAGTAATCCTCTTGCCTCAGCCTCCTAAGCAGCTGGAATTATAGGAATGCAGTTCCTGCCTCTGGAAATGTTCTCTCTGGGCACTTGGAGTTGAGATGAGAAGTCTGATCACCAGAGATTAACTCTGCTGGAGGAACCAGTTCACTCTGTTCATTCTGATTGATGTTCCCTGCTGAACCCAGGCTCCCAGTCTTTTCCTCTGAGGGGCTAGACATTTGAATGAATGTAAGGGAGGCTGCCTTGGACTCTCCAGACCAGCTCTTCTGCAAGCTGAATACCACTGAATGACCTCAGTTGCTACTAGAAGAGTTGCTCAGACAAGCTCTGCCAGAATTCCTTACCCATAAAATTGTGAGATGTAATAAAATCATTGTTTTAATTGTTGGTCTAACTTGGAACACAATATGCAATAATGTGTTGGATTATCTCATTCAGTATATTCATTATTTCAACGTTACATACTAGGAAATTTAAGATCAGACGAATTAAATAACGTGCCCAAGGTCTCCCAGGAAACATGAGATCAAACCTGCACTTGAACTTGAACTTGAGGAGTCTGACCCTCTGACCAGAGCAAAGCATTACTTTCCGTATAAAGTATGCATGATTATACAAGTAATAACTTTTCTAGCACTGGGACATTCCCCTGTTTGAGAGACAAGTGGGGAGATTTGGAGTCACAGGGTGGGTTCTTCCCTGGGCAAGACTCAGGACAGTGGGGGCTGATTTACATATCTTTATGTATCTATGGCTGACAGGGAGGCTGCCCATGGTGAGTGCTTAATAAATGTTTGTTCAATAAATAAACTAACCCACAAAGGAGTAAGTGGGAGGAGGAGCCAGACACAGGCTGGGATCTGGACAGAAGGTTCTTCCGCCACCTAGTGGTTATTCCTGGTACAACTTTCCTGTCTGTGGAAGAAAATGGAAGTCTCCTTTAGGGACCTTGGCTGAGTGTGTCTAAAGTCACACAGCAGCATCCTTCTGGACAAGTGGGGCAGGGTGGGGGTGAGGCCCTAGCCAAAGCCAGACATCTTGGCTCTTCAAATATCCGTGCATCTTGAAGGAGGCAGGGAGAAGAGTTTCCCCTGCCACCTGCTCATTCCGTTCCTGGTGCTGAGTATTTCAGTGGATGCTTAATAAATAAGTACTTGGGATAGAAATTTGAGACAATAGGTGATGTCACATCCTGTAGTTCATCTTCACCTTCCACAGAAGTTTCCAAAAGAGAAACTTCTGAATCAAGGATGGTTCGGAACTCAGAGCTCAGCTCATTCACGACCAACCTGCCTCTCCAGTACCCTGAATCCCCTGCCTTTCCAGCCCTTGCTTTGGGACCTCTGGACACTGATGGCTTCCTATCCCTAACCCCCACCCCCCAGAAGGCCTTCATGTACCCCACCCTTGATGAGCTGACAGGTATGGCTTTCCCTGGCAGTCAGGACAGAAATGTCCTGTGCAAGGCCCTGGAAAAGGCCACCAAACAGCATCCTCACATCAGATGGAGTCTCATTTTCCTCACCTGGAAATATCTAGAACAAAAGCATCTCCCTCAAAGAACTGCTGCAAAGCTCACAGGAGGTTAGGTGTCTGCAGTAGCCACAGGTGTGTGCACTGATAATACCTTAGAGCAATTCCTAAGAAAATAAATCCATGTGGCTTCCCAAGCTCCTTCACCAGCCAGCAGGCACCCTCAGGAATCCTGTCCACATATTGCACTCTAAGCTTTCACCCCAAAACTTCCCTCAGGATCCTTGGCTTCTCCCATTCCCTTTCCCTGATCCCAAGAGCAGGTAAGAAAAGCAAGAGGGCTTTGGTAAGAACAGACACTTTATTGTACACCAGGGTTGGGGAGAAGAGGAAAGAGGGGCCCTGGGGTGACAATGCCTCATTCCCCACCCTGGCTGAGTGGTCCTGGCCCAGGGCTCTGACCAGCCATGGGACACATGGACTTGAACTGATCCGAACTTGCACCAGGACCCAAAGTGACTGCCTGGTGTATGTGCTTGGGTCTGTACAAAGCAGGGCTTTCCATGAGAAGGGAGCCTGGACCTTTTTCCCCTAGCCTAGGTCACTGGGCCCCAATGAAGGGTCAGCAGCCCCCCCATGTTTCAGGGCTAGTGGAAGGACCTGGAGGTACTCGGGGAAGTCAGGTGCTTTATGAACAGTTAAATCTCACTTCTCTTTTTCACAGTGGGGAGTGCTCTGGTGGTGGGGGGGGGGGGCGTGCAACCATGAGGAAGGGCAAAAGGGCATCCACCTGCCTGACAATACTGCAGGCCTGCGTGGGGCCCAGGCCCAGGCCCAGGCCCAGGCCCAGCCTCTTAGCTGACACAGGCTGACTTGGGTGGGCTTCTCCTGGCACTAAGAAAGCAGCAGTCCCTGCAGAGTTATTGCTGGAAGGCAGACGCCTACCTCACCTGCATTACCTTGTGTGCCCCACCTGTCCACCTCAATTGGGGCCTTGGGCTCACATCACCTCAGTGGAGAGGGCGAAGGCTCCCTGAGCAAGAAGCAGGTGACTGGGGCTGGGCACAGTCCTCTCACAAGCATGGCCCTGATTACCCAGCTCAGCCACTCACAGCCTGGAGCCCCTCTGCCTCCTGGTGGGCACTGCATGGACAGCACCAAAGCCAGCAGGTGGGGATCCTGGGCAGGGACTTGGGGGTCTGCCCCTCTCTGGCCACCTTTTGCTCCTCCAGGGAAGCTGGATCCAGCTCCTCTGGTGACTCCACCTGCCCTGACTCCCCTGCCGAGTGAGCAGAGGCGTCAGAAGCACAGCCAGGCGTTGTCCCTTTTTGGGCAGTCAGGATCCTCTCAGAGACAAATGCAGGGCAGAGGTGCAGTGAGACCCTCTGGTGGTCTCACCAACCCAAGAAACCCAGGACCTTCCCTGCCAAGGAGCTGAGACTCCTGTGAGAACAGCAAGAGGTTTACAGGAAAATAAATTCGGGGACTTTTTTTCCCCCTGCCAAGGCCCTCCCTCCCACCAGAGATGTGAAGGCAACCATCAAAGCCCAAGCCGAAGCTTCCTGGGGCACTTGTCCTGAGGCCTCGCTCAGAGCTTAGAGGAGGAAGAAGAGGGGGGCAGCATGGTCTTCAGGAGCATGGTGAACACTAAGGGTCACAAATCAGCATCCTACAAACACCCACACCCACGCATGTGCACATATACCACACACACACACACACACACATAACACACACACACACAACCAAGCTCTGGGCCCTACATCTGACATCTAACACAGCAAAGACACTGCCAGGCCAGGGCCCAGCCCACAGCACAAATCTACGATGAACACTACTGAGCCCACAATGAGCAAGCAGACAGCCCCAGCGCAGCCTCCTCCTGCAGGCACGCAGGCTGGGGCCTGGCCCAGCCATGCTACAAAATTAAAAATATATCAAATATATAATGAAAATAGATCTGTACAGCACTGAGGATGAAAATAGTCCACCAGCCACAGTATAATATTGGGTTTGTCATTTCACAGCATTTACACCCACATGTACAGATTGAATGTACAATAGAAATAGCATATAGAACAGTATAGACAGCGCAGAGTCTCTCCTGGGGCCTTGCTTTTCCTGTTGCTAATTCCGCTTGGGATCAGGCATGGAGCCAGGTAGGAGGTGTTGTCAGGTGAGAGGGCCTCTCTTTGGGGAAATATGGGTCTCCCTTTCCTCTCAAACACTCAGGAAGGACAGGTGGGGCTGAGAGGGCTAGAAATGACAGAAGATGTGGGGGAGGGTTGAGTAAGGGAAATGGCAGGCTGGGAGAGCGTGGCAGCAGAGGACTCAGGGGTAAAGGAAGGGACCTGGGCTTAGTCTGTCCCTCCCAGTGCTGAGAGTATTCAGGGTCACAAGAGGGACTTGGCACCCTCTATGAAGATGCCCAAGCCTAGGACTGTGGCCTGCTCCGTCTCTGCCCCCCAGAGTGCTGACATGAAGCCTGACTGACTTCTATCCATCTACTGATCCATCCATTCATCCACTCATCCATCCATCTGTCCATCCCTCTGTACACCTATCCATCCATCTCTCTGCAGACATTTATTCTGGATCTGGTTCTGATCCTCACAGGCAGCCCATCTTGCAGGGGAGGCTTGAAGGTAAGGGTAGGGTTGCTGCCATCAGCTGTAGCCTCTTGCAGGCACTAGGCCGCATGACAGAGGTTCCACTTTGCCCTTGGCAGCCTCCAATGTCCACGGCATTGCCAAGAGCGCTGCCCACCACAGGCCAGGGAAGCTTGGTCAAGATTTCCAAGGTGTCTGCATACAATGTGCAACACTGGTGGCTGTGCTTGTGCAACAAGGAGAGTGAGTGGTGGCCCAAAAAGGGCAGTGAAATTATCTGTCTTTCTCCAGGAACAAGACTTCCTGGGAGTGAGCTCCTGAACTACAGGGATGCCCATTCCAGGGGAGAAGCTGCCACTAGAGAGAAAATTGGGCCCCAGGTGAGGGGAGAGGGTGTGTGCTTCACAATTGTGCTCCAAACCATCAAATTGTGCTGAGAACCATCAAGCTGTGCTCTGGAAACCTTACCTTGCACTGTCCCCTTCTCTTTGGAGAAAGAAGGCAGAGGCCACCACCCTGGGTTTTGAGTTGGATGGAAGGGGCTGGGAGATGGCTAAGCCCTAATGGAGGTGGGGAGGTTCTGAACCTTGTCATTGCCCACCCAGGCAGAATGCAGGAGCATAGCCCACCTGCCCTAGGCAGGGGCAAGGACATCCAAAGTTTCTAACTAGAGCCAGGGGCCAACAAGTCCCCTTTGGTGCCAACGTTCTTGCTCAAGCTAGGGGTACCACCTTCCTTACAAAACAGGCCTTGGGAGCTTCTGCACACTCCTGGCACACCTGTCCTCCAACCCAGCCTTTAATGAGGCAGCCTCTTGGCCCAGCAGCAGACAGTCTGGGTTGGGCAGGAGGGTGAGTCCTATTCTTATGGCAGACTCTGCCCCCAGGCCCTGAGGCCTCTCCCCACCACCACCTGATAGTATAAGGGGACCCTCTCCCACACCCCAGAACGTCAGGTGGCAGGTTGCAAGGAGAGAGGAGGATGGAATGACCTCCAAAGTAGCCATTTGGAGTCTTCTCTGAACTGGGAATCAGGACATCTTGATTGTTCTGGTTACATGGCTGCAATTTGGTGAAAGGTTCTAAGGGTTAGATGGATTGGGGGCCTGGATTGGGGGACAGTGCTGCTCCCAGCTCCCTGATCAGGGCTAGGGAGCAGAGTCTGCCAGGATTGGGATGGGAATGAGGCAGGGTGTGACCCTCTCTCCTTGGGCAGAGGGCCTGGCCTGGGTCTGGTGGCCACTGTGAAGGAAGAGGCCAGACCCAGACCAGTGGGCAGGTTGGGCGTGGTGGGAGAGGTGGGCAGGGTTGGGGCAGTGGTCACAGCTCTGATTCAGGGGTGCTGGCCAGGAGGTAGCCGCTTCCATAGCGTCCATTGGGGTTGCTGCTGCTCTCCAGGGGTGACGTGCTGCCAGGCCCCAGGTAGGAGCGGTGGGTGGGCATGGGGGAGGGTGCCTCGCTGGGCACCTTGCTGAGGATGAAGCGGGTCTCATCGTTCTCCTCCAGGTTGGAGACATCCTTCATCATGCGGCCCTTCTTGTAGGACACAGAGAGGGTGTTGGAGCCATCGGAGAGCAGGTGGAAGTGCCGCAGGACGAACACCACAGGGATGGGCAGGGTTGCCACAACGATGAGGGTGATCAGAAGTGCCATGGCCCAGTTAGGGAAATACAGGTAGCGTTCTGCAGCCTGAAGGCAGTGGCAGTGAGGGCTGCTGCCGGCAGTTTACCCCCCTAGGCCTCTAGGCCAGCCTCTTCCTGCCCATGCCTAAGGCCTCCCACTCCTCTCACCAGGGTGCTACTTGGGTTTTTAGCTGGTCACCTTAGTTAAACATCTGTTCCTACATCTGTAAAATGTAGAATGTAAAATGTGTCTACTCCTCCATAGACACTGAGAGAGAATATGGGTTAAAGACTCAGTTTCCTCATTTGTGCTATAGAGACAATGCCACCTTTCTCTTTGGGCTGTTGTAAAGATTCCAGAATAGCTGTGCAAAGCACCCAGCAGGGCCTGGCACAGAATAGCTGCCATATAAAGGTTTATTCAGAAGACCTGTTGCATCTCCCTCCCCACCCCACCCCCACCCCGCTCTCGTTTTTTAGTACTTGTGATTGAACTCAGGGCTTCATGCATGCTAGACAAGTGCTCTACCACTAAGAAGATGCAAATGTCCCTGAGTTTCCCTGGGGAACACCCCTCACCTCCTCCTTGATCCAGGCGCTGTAGCCCGGGGGCGTCACCCCCAGCTGGATGATACTGGCCGTTGTGAGCACAGCCATGCACAGTGGAGACACAAACTTCCACATGTAGAAATAGAAGCGGTAGGGTCGGAAGCCCAGCATCTCTGTCAGCTCCTGCATGAACCTGTCAGGCACAGCAGAGAAGCCGGCAGTTGGCACCTGCACCTCTGAGCCTCCCCTTCCCACATGGCCACCTCCTCCAGGAAACCTTCTCCTGGACTTTTCTAGGCTTCATCTTCAATGCTCACAGGTGTGAGGCCTGACTGGCCTGCTCTGACTACCTTACAAGCTGCTCCACCCAGAGGCAAGAGACATGCCCTGGCCAGTGGAACAGACCCTTAGAGGGCTCCAGTTCATAGAGCCCTGGGCCCCCAAACTGACCTGGCTCAAGTCTCCCCCTGCTGGAGAAAATATGAAAGTGTACTTCCTTAGCATCCTGACTGGGGATTTCTAGCTGTAGGTTCTGTGCTGGAACTGTAGGAGGCAGGCAGGCTGCATATTTAAACGCACACAAAAATCATCTTTACCTCAATTCCACCTCACTGAAACCTGGCAACTGCTCCTATTATAAATGCACATAACCACAGGAGTCAACTGTATCTGTGACTTTGTCACCAGATAGATGAAATCACAAGGTATTTTAATTTTACATTACAGTTGTTAGATACCTAGAGACCTCATTTATATTCATCACTACTTTGAAATTACTATTTCCACAACTAGATCTTGTAGCTTAATGTGATACATATAAAGTACATATACATTTATGTTTTACAGATTTAGACAGTATTTTGTTATTTTTCAATATAATTAGTTTCCTATCTAATCCTATATATTTTATCCTATGCATTTAAAAAACAATATTTCTAAGAGGGGTACGGGGGCATCATCAGAATGCCAAAGGAGCCCATGGCATGTGTAATCAGAGCCCCTCTAGCAGTGTCTTCCAACCCAGGTTATGGAGAAGAGTTTGGTGGTGGATGCAGCAGCCCACTACAGCCCACTACACACCACCCACCCCCTGCCCCACTCTCGTTTTTTAATACTGGTGATTGAACTCAGAGCTTCATGCATGCTAGACAAGTGCTCTATCACTAAGCTATATCCCTAGCCTTATTAATTGATTGATTATTTTACTTTCAGACAGGGTCTTGTTGAGTTGCCAGGCTGGCCTTGAACTTGTGATCCTCCTGCCCTGGGCTCCTGAGTAGCTGGGATTACAGGTGTGCACCACTGTGCCTGCCTGGGAGTGCCCCTCTCTTACCCCTTCCTGTCCCTCCTGCACTCTCTTAAGAAGCAGACCATCCCTGTGAGAGAGCCCCCATTCCCAATCCAGGTCTACGCATCAGGGAGGGCCAGACTGAGTGGTTAGAAGAGGTCCTGGGCCTTGCCCAGAAGGACAGTGAGGCCACTTCTGGAGCTGAGAGAGTAGGAAGGGCCTAGTCCTGGAGCTTCTTGGGGACACTGATTTTTTCCTTAAAGGAGGAATGAGGTCAGGAGCTGAAAGTGAGTGGAAGTCTACCTTAGCAGTAGGCCATGACACTCCATCCTTTCTTATTTCTGAATCCTCTTACCTTGCCTGAACCCAAATTTGGAGCCCAAATCACAATTTGAGAATCAGGCTGCTGAAATCTACCAGTTCTTTGAGCACTGGGGACCCTGGTGCCTCCACCAAGTGCTTAACAAGCTTAGCAGAATTCTGATAAAGGACAGGTGTTCAGGAAAGGGACTGTGGTAATTTACAAAACTTTAGGCTGGTCTCAGAACCTAAACACAGGACCTCAGCCTGACTTTAGCTCTTACTAGCCAAGAGGCCTGGGTAGCCATGACTCTCTCTAGGCCTCAGTTTCCCGTGCTAAAAGGCAGAACTTTTGTTGTTGTTGTTGTTTGGGGGTTTTTTGGTACTGGGGATTGAACTTAGGGGTACTCAACACTGAGCCTCATCCCCAGCCCTATTCTGTATTCTATTTAGAGACAGGGCCTCACTGAGTTGCTTAGCGCCTCACTGTTGCAGAGGCTGGCTTTGAACTTGCCATCCTCCTGCCTCAGGATCAAGGATCCATGGATTACAGTCATGTACCACAGCGCCTAGCTTAAAAGGCAGGGTTTTAACTCTGACATTTCGATTCTATAATCTCCTGCCCCAATCTGCAAGCAACACTGGGAACACAGGACGCGCCAGGAAATCATGATGGGATAGGACCCTCCTCCACACCCCACCTCTTCCCTGCTCGTCCCCCTTACTTCTTGGTTCCATAGATCCAAGCCACAGCGATGTTCTCAAGGATGACGATGACGGTGAGTGGCAGGGTGGCCGAGTAGTCATCAAACATGGTGACAAAGTAGTTTCCGGAGCGCTGGACGAACAACAGCCCCACGAAGAATGCAAAGACACAGCAGCCCACTACAGAGAGCCGGGAGGCCGGTGTGGGGGCAAAGGTGCAGGGTGGGCAGGGCCCTGGGGGTCTGTGGGGGCACCCAGGTCCCTCCCATCACACTGTTCCCCCAGGAGGTACAGCCATGCAGGAGGGACCCCATGCTGAGGTGCTGAGCTCCCCATCTACCAGGAGGGAGCATCTTGAGGAAGGCATGGATCTCCTCTCTTCTCCCACGGTCCTGCTCCAGCACAGCCCCTACCCCATAGCACCTGCTCCACTTAATTGCTGTATTAAACTTAAATGGTTCTTCTGAGTGTTCCCAGGCTCCTTTTCTCCACCTCAGTTTCCCCATTTGAGAACAGCAAGATGCTCCTCGCTGGGGATGCAGCTCAACTCGGCAGGGGCAGAGGGTGGAACAGGATGCAGAGAGGGGGCATCCCTGCCTAAGACAAGTCAGCAGGCCCTCGGGAGGTGGGGCAAGCAAACCTCAGCAAGGATCGTAGCCCAGGGTTGGCCCAAATTTCCAAATAACTTTGTCCCCCTGGCTCATAAGTGCAGGTGGCCAAGTGCCATAGCCAGGTTCTTGCTTTATCCCGATGAGGGAGGGGTACAGGGTCTTCTGGGCCTGAGGTCCTGAATGACCCAGTCAGAACCCAGATTTTCTGAAGTGAGAGCAAGAACCCGATTATTGTATCTGTGTGGGCAGCTGTGGGACCAGGTAGGGCTGCAGGGAAGAGTTACCTGTAAACATCTCCTTAGGCACCTTGAATGTGTCAATGATGGGCGTGGTGATGCCCGCCATGGTCCCAATCATGCTGCCCAGGCCCAGGTTGATAAGCATCAGGAAGAACATGACGGACCAGAATGGGGAGGCAGGGAAGTGCGTCATGGCCTCCGTGAAGGCAATGAAGGCCAGGCCTGTGCCCTGCACGGACTGAGGGTAGGGAGGAGAGAAAGGGCCTGTGAGGGCCACCCCACCCAGGAACCCCCTGCTGCCTTACCACTGCCCCGGGAGCTTTAGGAATCACTGTTCCCTCCTGCACGGGGACTCCCCACCTCCACCTGAATCCTGCTGGTGTGGGTCAATGGTCTTAAACTTAGTAGGCATCAGAGTCTCCTTGTGGTGGGTATGAAAGCCCCAATTCTGGACTTCCAGGGTGGGGAGATGGAATCTATCTCCTATAAGGATCAGAGTCATTCAGATGAATTTGCTCATGTCTGGGAATACACCCAGCACAAGACCCTGCCCTCCTAAGACATCTTCCCTGATTGCCCCAGCCACCCCTGCTGCCCCCAGCTCTGAGCTTCTGAACTCCAGACCTTAATACCATGGCCTCAGGTGTGGCCACTGGAAGCAAACTGGAGTCTTTAAAATCACTGATGCCCAAGTCGCCTCCCAGGGACAATGATTTAATTGGTCTGGGATGATGCTGTTTTGGGGCTTTACAAAGCCCCCCAGGTGGCTCTAATAGGAAGACAAGCTACGGAACTGCTGCTGACATCTCAGCCATGTTGTCCTGTGGTGCCCAGTGATTGTGAAGGAATGTGTGCCCCACCTGAGCAAGTGACAGTTGGATACTATTGAGGTTGTAGGGCATTGAAGAACTGCTATAACCCTAGTTTTATTCACAACCCAAAAGAATGGGGCAGGCTTTCATGGAGCATGGAAGGGCATGTCCTGTCTTCTACTTGTCACCTGGGAGAAAAAACAGCCAGGGGTCCCCAGATTGTCCTCATTTGCTCTTGATCCCCTGGGAAGGGGTCAGGGATGTGAACGCAGCTCCCTTGCTTCAGGGGAGCTGACTTTTGACATGGAGCTCAGGTAGGATTTAGAGGAAACTTCTGGTCCCATGGAAGAAGGGCCCAGTCGGCACAGCCTATGGGAGCTGGCCCTGTCCCATGTAAGCCTCAGCTCCAGCCAGGTTTCCTGGACCCTATGGGTATGTCTCTGTCTGATGACCCCTTCTAACAAAAAGTCGTTTTGAAAAGTGCCCAGCTGTGCAAACAGAAATAGAAACAAGGTGCCCAAACTTGGGCCTGAGCTAATGAGGGGACAACATCTTTCCACCTAAAGGTCATCATGGCCATGGCAGCTGGAGTGGGCACAGCTGGGCAAGGGGGTGGAAGCTCCAAGGGGTGAGCCAGAACCCATGCTCTGGATCTGACCACCTGGATTTGAATCTGGCTGGCCCACTTACTCATTTGAGACCTTGATCAAGTCCCCCAACTTGCAGACTATTCATTGGTAAAGTAGGGGACAATATTAAAACCCAACTCATCGAGCTACCACGAGGTTCACAGGAGATGGAGAGCAAAGGAAGACACTAACATGTCTATTTCACACAAGAGTACATTTATGCATTTCATACACAGTACCCAGCTCACAGAAGCCCATCAGTTATACAGGAAGTCACCCGACACTGACTGGTTCCTGTGGTTCCCTCGGTTGCTCATTTAGACTTACACCTAGTTCAGGGCACCACTGGCTGACACCTTCCTCCCTCTCTCTTCTTGTGGACACACAGTAGGTCCTTACCTGCCATGTAGACTACTGACTCCCTTGGGCTCGCCAAGGCCTGTGCCCAAGCTCCAGCCACCCGTGGCCCATCCCTGGGTTCCTGCCTGTCCTGGGAAGGGCAACCTATCCCCACACCTTGTCCAACTCATCTTCCAGGAGGCAGGGATCTAGGCCCAGGGCTGAGAACCGGTCCTCCTTCACGGTCATGATGACGTTGTACATCTCCGCATAGTCCTTGGTGGTCAGGTGGGAGAAGTTGACGTGAGGTGGGATGAGGTCCCGGCTCAGGACGTTGGAGTTGAGGTACCCTAAGATTTTCTCAGCATTCCTGCAGCACAAAGGGGAGAATGCCAGGTAGGAAGACAGGAGTGGGGTCCTGGGGAACCTCCCAGACACCCAGACAGGTCCCTGTGGGCCCGGGCTGGGGACAGATGATGCTGCATGCATGCGTCTTATTGCTCAGTGAAGTGGAGGGAACTATCTGCCTGCATGGCCGCCTGCCCACTCCTGGCTGGGAAGGAAGGACCACGGGAGAGAAGCCACCTACTCGACCACACACTTCTCATTCATGATGTTGGCCTTGAAGCCCAGCACAGCAAACACCACGAGGGTGGCCAACACTGAGGTGAAGAAGTTGATGAAGGACACCAGAGCGGCATCAAAGTGGCAGTTGTTGTCCTGCTTGTTGTAACTGGAGAAGGCGATGACCCCACCGAAGCCCAGCCCCAGGGCAAAGAAGACCTGTGTGGCTGCCTCCCGCCACACCTGGGGATCCAGCATCTTGTCCAGCTGTGGGGTGGGGGAGGAAAGAGACACAGGCTTACTCATGTGCAGGGGCTTCCCTCCACACCCCCTTTCGTTCATACCTGTAATCCCAGCAGCTCAGGCTTAGGCGAGAGGATAGTGAGTTCAAAGCCAGCCTCAGCAACTTAGGGAGGCCCTAAACAACTCAGTGAAACCCTGTCTCTAAAGAATATTAAAAAGGGCTGGGCATGGGTTCAAACCCCGGTACCAAACAAAAAGAGAAGCTGTTGAACTTGGGCAATTCATCTAACCCCTCTAAGCAGTATCCCCAAGTGCAAAGCATACAGAACAAAAGCATCGGCTTCAGAGGATTATTGTGAGGACTAAGCAAGATTAAATAAATGTTGAATGCTTACGTAGTAAATTCTCAGTTAATTTTAACTGCTATATTTCCTGCCATGGAGCTGTCAGACTAAGGAACACGGCCAAGGCCATCACATATGGTTGTGTGGTGCACAACTCTAGGGAGCGCCATTCATTTAGACTATCGTGTGCAGTGAATAGCCTTCACAAGAGTACAAGAGAACTGGAAACACCGATGTCTCCTTGACATTTCCTCTGCCTCCTCCTGCCTTCCCAATCTCCCCTTTCTCAGAAAAAGAGGTCCAAGGCTCATCCACACACATCTACACTCTCCAGGTCACAGAAGCCCCCCACCCCAGTGCACCACTTGACACATAGGACCAGACACTTCCTGGACAGAGACAGCCCTTACCTAAGGCTCTTTCTGCCCTTAGACCTGAGGAGGGCCTGAACCACACTGGCATTTGGATGGTGTGGGCAATTTCCAAAGCCTTTTTACATCCATTTTTCTTTAAGTGTCTGTTTCTCAAGGCAGGGACCCACGGGAGAGAAAGTGGGCAGGGTCCCAGGATTCCGGGAGTTTATGTTCCAGTTGGAGAGATGGACCTTGGTCAATTGATCCCACCAACAGATGCCAAACTGCAAATGTGACAAGGGCTTTGAAGGCCAGACACCTAATGCTCAGAGAGCCTGTAGCAGGGAGTCAGCATGAGCCAGGAGACCAGGGAGCTGACATCTGACAGGGGCTGTGGGGGCTGGGAAAGCAGGTCCTGGGGTGGCACAGAGGGAGGTGTGCAAAGGGAAATGGAGGTGGCCGGCAGGGGACGATAAGGAGAGGGTACAGGTGAGGCTGGGAGAGCCAGAGGAGTCAAGGGCCTGGAGGAATTTCCTGACTTTATCCTAAGAAAGCTCTTGATCCAGGAAATCACAAAAGGGTTGAAGAAGAAAGGACACAATCAGATGTGCATTTCCAAAAGAGTAGAACAGATGCAGCACAGGAGACGTGAGGAAGCACCATCTGGGGTCCAGGAGGCAGGAGGTGGGTGGCTTTGCTCAGGGGCAGGTGCTGCTGATGGAGGAATTCAAGCAGAAGAAACCAAAAAGACCTTAGGGATGGATTGGAGAGGAAGAGGAAAGGTGACAGCTACATTTCTGTGGAAATGGGAACAGGGAAGAGGAGCAGGTTGGAGGGGTTGCGCAAGGCAGACAAGACATTAGCTCTGCATAGGTTGAGCTTAATGTGTTCATAAGACATTCTGCAGAAAAGCCAGGTACAGAGGCACACACCTGTAATCCCAGCCGCTTGGGAGGCAGGAGGATTGCAAGTTTGAAGCCACCGGCCTCAGCATCTTAGCAAGGTCCTAAGCAACTTAATGAGACCCTGTCTCAAAATAAAAAGGGCTGGGCATGTGGCTCAGTGGTAAAATGCCCCTGGGTTCAATCCCCAGTACCGAAGGTGGGTAAAAAAAGGTCTCCTGGAGGAGCTGCCAAGCAGGCAGCTGGGCAAATGAGTCTGGGCTTCCGAGGAGAGAGCACAGCTGGAGGTGTAGTTGTGTGGAGCAGGCAGTGGATGGACAGTGAGAAGAGGCCAGAGCCAGGTCAGTCAATTTATAAAATTTAATGCAGGGAAGAGGAAGGACCTTCTCCAAGGGAGCTAGAGAGGCAGGCAGGAGGAAATTCTGGGGAGAGAGGTGAGCAGGAAAGGCCAGTGCTGCCCAGTGGCAGATGCCAAGGGAGAGAGTAGCAGCACAGAGGTCCCAGGAGGGCTGTTCAGGGACTGAGGGTCTGGACGTCAGGTGGAGGGAGGAGAGGAGGGAAGCAGAGCAGAGGAAGTGGCAAGTCCCTGGGCAGGTAACCTTGGGATGGAAGGGAGAAGGGCATTATCAGGAGGCGGCCATGGAGTCAGTGAGGATTGCTCGTTTGCAGGTTACATGGTCTTTGTGGGATGGAAAAGCTTCACCATGCTATATTTAAAAGCTGATGGAAGGCAGGGATATGGGCGGGGTGGAGCTGCCTTCCATAAGAGCCTCTCTGAGTTCCTGGCTATCCATTAGTTGGAAAGGGAAGGGGGACAGGATGGGTATCAGCAGGCAAGTTCGTACATTCGGTTTCTGCCTGTGTAGGTAGAGAGAGCTTCTGACTTGGTGACCTGTGTTTACCTTGTAAAGCAGGAGGTGAGCTCATCTGCTGTGATGAGTGGAGGAGAGGAGGAGAGAGGGTTCAGATGGGTGGAGCGGTTTCAGTGGTCATGATGGAGCAAGGGAGACCGATGGCCAGAGAAATGGGACAGGGCTATCCACACCATTCGGCTCTCCATGGTTGCACAGGTGGAGATCTGATTTGTTTTGTTTTGTTTTGTTTTGTTATTTTCGCTACTGGGAACGAAACCCAGGGCCTCACACATGCTAGGCAAGAGTCCTACCTTGGAGCTACACCTCCAGACAGGGGCTCTGCTTTTTAAGATAACATAAAATATTATCTTCTTTATAGAGGGAACCCAAGCCCTGGAGGCAGACTGGTTTTGGACTTTAGGCTTTCATTTCTAATTTTATTTTAGGAAGGTAATATGGTGCATATGCCACAAAATTACATCACACCTCCAGTGGGCCCAGGGCAGCACCCTGTAATAAAACACATTAGGACTTTGGCAGCCGAATATGAATCTTCACACCAAGTGAATCAATAAGGACTATAAATAACCTCACATCTGTGCAGGTAGTCTGCTTCCAAATAAATTCTAGGGCAACAAACCCAAAGAGAGCAATTTTTTTTTCAATGCAATTTGGATTTTGGTATTGTGAGTAAGGAAATAGGGGCCTATACTGTGCCTAATACAAATTACAGAAAAGAAGAATATAATCATAGTCCTCTTGAGAAAGGACTTCTGTAACTCCTCTTTATTTTATTTTATTTATCTTTTTTTTGCATGAGTTTTTTATTTTTTTATTTTTTGTACTAGAGAACATTTTACCACTGAGCTACAAGCCCAGCCCTTTTTATTTTTTATTTTGAGACAGGGTCTTGCTAAGTCGCTGAGGCGGCTTTGAACTTTAAATCCTCCTACCTCAGCCTCCCAAGTCACTGGAATCATAGGCATACACCACCACACCCAACTGGGTGAGGGGTTTTTCGTTTTGTTTTTTTAACTTTTTTTAATTGTAGATGGACATAATATCTTTATTTTATTTATTTTTATGTGGTGCTGAGGATCGAACCCAGTGCCTCACATGTGCTAGGCGAGCGCTCTACCACTGAGCCACAACCCCAGCCCCAGGTATTTTGTGTTTTTTAAAAACAATCCTCCTAAGGGCTCCATCAACAGAGCAGGGAGGGACCACGCGCACCTTCGAAGGCATGCTGGCCTTCACAGGTGCTCATGGGTGTCCATTACGACAGTCCTCTCAATCTTCTGGAGCCTGCCCACTTCTCTCAGGCTAGAAATCAGAGCCTAGTGGGAGAGCTATAGGCGATTTGGTGAGTTCCAACCAGGAAGAAGTCCAAGATTTTATAAGAGGGGAGGTTGAGACAAACAACTCATGGATGCCCCAGGACTCCCCATCATCTTCTGGAAATTTTTTCCTCACTCTTTTGTGTTTTGAACATTAAATGCAATGAACTTACTCCTCATCAAAAGCACCCTGGTCTTTCATATTTCTGGGCTTGGAGTTCCCTTCCTCCTACTCCCTCTCTGGTGAACTCCTATTTATTTCTCAAAACCCAGTATACATATCACTTCTCTTTGAAGCTTTTCCTGACTCTGGCAGAGCTAGTCATGTGCCTTGGGCACTCAGAGTCAGTACCCATCTCACACAACTGTCTGTCTACTCGCAGTTTACACTGAGGGCTGGAGCCCAGACCCTGTTTGTGCCTAGCACATGGAAGAGAAAGAGTCGGGAGCAAGAGACAGTCAGACACACGCACAAAAGCTGACGTGATCCATCGAGGTTTTGAACTGCACGGGAAGTACCAGATTAGCAACTATGACATGGCACCAGCCCTTTAGGGCTAAGATGTGTTCTTCTAGAACAAGAAGAGTCTTAGGATTTTAAACTTTTCTACTTTGTAAAACACAACTACTTTAATACGGCCTTCCTCTTCTCCTTCCCTCTCTTCCTCTTTGGTAATTATTCCTTTTTGATCTATGTCAAACATTATTATAGTTTACACAAAAAGGTCCAGACCATCAGTGAGTCCCAAACACATGCCACCATTAGGAGTCTCACCACTCCCTAAGCCTGAAACAAGAATGTGGATACATTCCTGGCCCCAGTCACTGCTCAGGGTCAGATTTCATAAATGAAGGCAGCTGCTCCAGAGCAGACACTGCAGTCCCAAACTGTGCTCTCAGAGCTGGCCCAGGGGCTTGGGGGATTTCTCAGAGGAATAGGGCAGGATTGCTGTATAGGCAATGATTTGGGATGAAAACAAGAATTTTTTTTCTTTGTTAAATTAGTGTTGATTTATCATTATTTTCCTATTCTTAAAAATTGTGGACTATCATAAAATCAACAAAAGTAGGGATGAATATATAATGAACCCCTGCTCTAACCTTACCCCCCTTTAATCATTATCAACACCTGGACAATCTTATCTCCTCTACATTTCACCCATGTCCACCCCTAGAAAATTTTGAAGGAAATTGAAAGATTCAAATCTGACATTGATCAGGGCCTAGGAAACCA